CGGGAATTTCAAATCTCTAGATTGAAACCTTATGTTCCGCTCGACATACAAAAGAATAAAATACTAATAATAATATAAATAAAAAGATGCATTTGAATAGAAATATGAAGCAGTATGGAATCAATATGAAATAATAAACTCCAATAATCGTAACTTTGAATGAAAACAACATAATGAGACACTGTGAACAGACGAGGTAATTTACTGATGATATTTCTCCAAATTAAAAAAAATTGATTAACGACATAAAGTTACTTCATTCCTTCAATTTAGATTTTCCCATCGATTGATTGAACCAAAGTTCTCGGTGTCAAGTCAGGTTGATATGTCAGCTCCTTGTGCAGATACTTCGATGATATCTGGTCATGTAATTAGAATTCAATTTGGTGGATGGTGACTAAGAGTGGATAAAATCCAGGATAAGGCGCATTTCGTCACATTTGGGACTGACTCGTCATCTGGATGTACCTGCATTCATATTTGAGCCTTGGTGGGAACCCCATCACTGACTCACTACGGAATGAAGGTACATTCGGTTGACGAGCCAGCCTAAAATAGGACGAAATGCTCTTTATCCTGGATTCCATCCACTAACTGACATAAAGATACTTCGATTAATACTATTAAGAACATAAAGAAAAAGACTATATATAATTGAAAGTAAAAACTTACAGAAACTTTCATTAAAATGCATAATGGCTCTTTGTGTGGAATGGATTCTGTGTAGAGTGAAGCAGCAGCCCGACTGTCCAATGATTCAATGACTAAAATAATTTTAATTCAATGTTGTATAAAATACAAAAAAGGTGAAGAAAAAAAAGGATAGTGAGAGAATTTCCCCCCGAAAGTAAAACTGTCAAATGTTATACAAGAATCAAAAGAAATACAGCTAGCTGCACTGAAAATTCAAAAAGTACACACACACACACACATAGATATTGCAGAGTTAAAAACCCTGTTGTTAAAAAAACACTTTATACTAAGGTATTTTTTTAATTTTATGACTTGTATGAGTAATATTCAGTTTATATTTAGAGATATCTTTTGATAACCTATTTATTAATTTTAGGATTTCACCATGAGCTGACATCGGTTGGAGGACCATCGGCAAACTAGCATGGGTGTACTAAACAGCCAAGTGTTTCGCCAGACTAGTTTGAGGCTCCTCAGCAGCATGCCCCCACCCCACTGGCAGGGTTCGAACCCAGGACCTTCCGGTTACATGGAGAGCTAGCGCGTAGACTATTAAGCCACTGAGAACCATTCCAATGGTTCCCGGGATTTCCAATTGTTCTCCAACCGATGTCAGCTCATGATGACATCCTAAAACCAATCGAATTTCTGCAAACCACCACTTGAATACCATTTATTAGTTGTAAGTTATTTTACAGCGTTAACTGGTGTATATATATATATATATACATATATATCACTACTATAAAGAGTAATCGGAGCATTCTCCGGCTTGTATTCAGTTATCTGAGGAGTTCGATTGATTAAGCCTGACTTAATGATTCGATGGATATATTGTCGTCCACAAGAAGCTGTAGTCAAGCGCCTATGGTATGGCATGTGAGATCCCTGATCTGAACTCCTTCGCTTCTACAGTTATCCAGAAAACCAACCAATGAAGTTAAAAATAATAACGATATATTTCAAGTTAAAGACGGGATAATATGATGGCATACCAGTCTGTGTGTGACTGACTGAGTTGGGTACTGGGATAGATAGAGTCTTAATAAGAACACCGTAACTACTCATTAGGGAGCAGGTGAATCCCTTTGAAGAGTCACAAAATAGTAAAACAGATGCACGCACAATCCGTCCCATATTACTAACCACCACCACCACCACCAAACAAATAACTCTTATAATTATTTTATTCCTTTACCTTCCGAGTGGAACATAGAGCGCTTCAAGCAAGAGTTTTGAGTTTCCGGTAGCAGCGATGTGTTATATGCCAGGTGGGATTGCTGACCTCCCTCTCAACTTTCCCCCTCTGTTTAACCAGCCTTACTACCCGGCTTAACGAGGTTTAGGAGTGCGTAGGCAAATCATGTGCTAATCAAATTATGACTGTGAGTGTCATCATCGAACAAAGCGGAGGATGGCAGTCAACCATGTACCTCAACTTAATTCATCGACTTCGAAAAGGCCTTCGATAGCGTAGACCGAGAAGTAATTAGGAAACTGCTTCAACACTATGGCGTGCCTCAAGTCTTTATCAACCTGATTCAACAGCTGGCTACAGGACAATGCCAAGTGTCAAGTGGTGTCCAACGGATAACTCAGCGAGGCGTTCTAAGTGAATACAGGAGTAAGACAAGACCGTCTGCCTATTATCACCGATGATATTCTTAATTGTGGTGGACTGATAGGATTATGCGTCAGACTTTGCATGGGGGTGAGAAGACAGGAGTACGTTGGACCACCGATAAGAAGACTCCGGAAGATCTGGATATCGTAGCATTACTATCCGGCTTAACGAGGTTTAGGAGTGCGTCGGCCGAGGATCGAACAGTGGACCACGTGAGTCGTGGTTGGTGAGAGTTCTACCACTGAAGCAACACTTAAATATATACACAAAACCATCTTTAGAAGAGGAGCCGGGGGTCTTGTTTCACAACTGATCGAATTTTTGACCTTTGAAGAGACCAGAGTTATTTATTACGTTGTTGAATGGAGCACAATCAATAAAGCATCATCACTAACATAAAACACGCTAAAACACACAATGAATACAAAAGCTTTGATTTCAGATTTCTACTCAACAATACTCACATAAACACAGTATACTTTTCACTTCAAGGAGAATGTTTATGTGATTTAAAAGCACCTTTTACCAGATCATTGGCTGGTAAGTCAGTAAATGGTTAAACAATCGACTACACCATTAATATGAGAACAGAAATTAGACACTGTGACAGAGTATAATTCCATTATGGAGAGAATTTCATTTTGATGAAGTCTCCCAGTGTTGTACAGCCATATTTACTGATGACGACGTTTCGAGCACAAGTTACTACTGCTTATAATCATATCAAGGCAGTACTCACACAACTTTCTAAAAGTATTAGTGAAACTAATAACGATGACATAAATAAGAAAGAATATAAGGCATCTACAGTAGTTTTACCATATATAAGGAGGGAGGGGACATCTGAGACCCTTCCCACGTAGGATTCTCAATAAAGCAGGAATTAGATTGGCATTCAAACCTACAAACTCACTCACGTAGGACAAGCTCTGTAGGTTGAAGGACCCAATTAAACAAAATAATATAATTTACAAAATACCTTGCAATGACTGTGTGTGGGTCAACTACATCAGTCAAACCAGTGGTAGATCGGGGGTAGTCAGATTGTCAGAACATAAGAATTTAGTGGCTAAGGTTAGAAGATAGGTAATCTAGAAAAAAAGTCGGCAGTTGAACTGCATTCACTAACATACAATAGAGGGGAGGAGACAGAATTACAATTCTAAAACGTAATATAATTAGGTGGAGAACGAGAAAGGTTGATTACTCAATCTTGGTTCATCGAATAATCTACGCCCAACAGATGCAATAGAAATGACAGGGTCCTTCAATCTACAGAGCTTGTCCTACCTGACTGAGTTTGTAGGTTTAAATGCCACCCTAATTCTTACTTTATTGGGAATCCTACACGTAGGGCCTCAGATGTCCCCTCCCTCCTGATATGATAAAATTACTATAGAGATGCCTTATATTCTCTCTTATTTATGTTATCATTACTAGTTTCACTATTATTTTCATTTTGCTTTTGATCTTTTCTGATCTTCCTAATGAATTTTATAGGATAGTTAGTTATTTAACACCAACGCTTCATCTATCTGTTTTATTTCATCATTTAGGTCTTTTCTTGTACTACTACTTAGTGCTACTGCTCGGTTTGTTAGATACTTAACTAAGCCTGCCTTCAGAGACAGATAATGGATGAGATGAATTAAAGTCTAAATATCTATTAGCAGAATGCGTTGGTTTTTTATAAACGCCGCTAGTGTGCAGTTTAACTTCTTCTATTCGTTTTATTTTACAATCTAACTTCATAGCTAATTCTCCTTGTTCATTTTCCAATTCATTTGTGAATTTTATTCCCTCTACTAGTGAGTTCATATGTGTGAAGAAGTTAGAGAGAGATATGTTCTGTTTTTAACACTGTGAGTGAAAGTGTCATCCAAATATCTCCATCATATTTTCGGAGCAGGATTAAATGTATTAAGAGCAATATTTTCCCAGCTCTCCATAAAGATATCCGCTACGATAGGGGGTATTGGTGATCCATTCCATAGCTACACCCTCTGTTTATCTATATATTTTGCCTTGGAATTTAAAGATAGTAGATGTGAGACAGCATAACTGAATCCCTAAAATAATTTCCTCAATGGGCAGCTTTGTCCTGTGAGTGAGTTCAGGATCTGAAGTTAGTTCTTTCTTAACTGCTTGGTATATTAGTATGAAGACTAGTTATTTCAAAACTAACCATTGCTTCATCATTCTCTAGTTGAATGTCATTTATTTTCTATAATTTGGTTTGTAAAGGTTAGTTATGTTTTTACGAGTTGATCACGGATTGATATCAGTTAGAGAACCATTGAACATCAGCCGGGGAGTACTGGACAGCTGTTTCATCCTAGTTTCCGACTCATCGGCAGTACGCACCCACTGATGTGGTTCGAACCCAGGGCCTTCCGGTTACAAGACAGGCTAGCTCGTATACCATTCAGTCACTGGGACCCGATTCAATGGCCAGCCCATGAATTCTAACTTCTACCGATTCGTGATTTAGCGCGACCCCATTTAGTTTGTTTTTCATCTCATATGAATTAGTTAGTCTAGAGTTTGAACAATTTCTAATGGGGCATAATATTAGAGCTAAGTGTTCTGATAATTCATAAGTAGAGGTATTCCTGAAATCTACTATTGGTCTAGTAAATTATACATATTTGAGTAATTATTGTGTAATCAATCGATATCATAATCATAGAATGTATTTTTCAGCACACATCACAATTAGCTTACTTGAACATGGAACGTTTTCTTTAAGAAATGATATAATTTGTGAGAAAATCTTCTTTGTGTTGTTGTTTGTTACTACTGCCACCGAGGGTGAATCAGACAGCATCTGTGATTCACGCCGACTAACTGATAATAAATTAGGACATTGAATTTTCGTAGATTGGAATGCATTGAGTTGACCACTGGATAAAAGTGCAGCAAATTGATCACTAGTCATCATTGTTAATGGTATACAATATTGAGGTGTAGTAGTAGTAGTAGTAGTAGTAGATGACAGCGTTGAAACAGTATTCGGGATTAATTCACTGCTAGAGTGTTGTTGTTGTTGCTGTTGAACAGAGGATTTCGGATGAACAAGGGACTGAAAAAAACAAACAACAGTGCGAAATGATAACACTATATTTACTGGGTAAATGCTTTTATAAGAAGGAAGATGATCCTATTTTCATCATGAACTGACATCAGTTAGACAACACCATTGGGAAACCATCACAGTCGAGTACAGCCAGACAGCTACTTCCTCATCTTAGTTTGCGACTCTTCATCAGTAGGCACCAACCCTACTGCCAGGATTCGAACACGCCGACCTCCCACCTACAAGTCAAGCTAGCTAGCTAGCTCGTAGACCATTAAGTCACTGGAACTTCGAATTAATGACTAGCCCATGAATTCCAGCTTCTGCCAATTCACGCACGATATAGCGCGACTTGCACTGGCCAGTGTCATCGCTGGCGAGTATTTGTCCCCACTCCCGACCTGCTGTACCCCCACTAAATAAAATATAAGTACAGTAGTTGAATTGACTTCACATACGCTGCATAGACAACCGGGAAATACTAATTTTCTAATCACATATCGTATATCACACATTTATTCGGGGTACATATCTAGTGCTCCAATGAAAACTTTGTTACTTTGATTGAATCAGGCTATGTGAGTCTTGACAACAATAAGAACAGCTTTTCTCCTGCACAAGATGTTTACACAGTAAACAGGATAAATACTCGTCAGAGATGACAGTGGCTAGTGCCAGTCGCTCTATATCGTGAATTGGAAGAAGTTGGAATTCATGAACTAGTCACTGGATCGGGTCCTGGTTTCGAACCCCAGTATAGCTGGGCGTACTACCGAAGAGTCTCAAAATAGTCTGACGAAACAGCTAGCTGTCCAGTACTTCCCGTTGGTTTTTCAATGGTTCTCTAACCGATGTCGACTTATGATAACACTGTGTAACCAAGCAAATCCCTGCAAACCAACACGTGAACAATATACACAGAATTCTAAGAACAGTTCATCGCATTATATTTTCTTTTCATCCAAGATCATGGGATAAATAGCAATCTAGAGAGTACAGCATGTGACGTAATGCCGTCCGATCTGAAGAATAAGATGATCCACTAAGTTATTTTTCTCCCGACGTCGAGAGAGATGTGCAGCTGTAGGTTTCAAAGCCAATTCAAAAATGTTCGTGAGTACATTTGGCGACCCACGGACATAATTGAATAGTTTAAATAAAGAGAAAAAGAAGCAAAATTCAATGCATTGTATTGAATAAAAATCCAAGTAACCCGCCTAGTGATTCAACCGGGTCGCTGGATCCAAGGAAAAATAAACTAGTTGGTCGAAAGCACCGCATTTATTCTCTTTTATTTCTTCAATACATGCAGACAAATACCGACACCAATTTGACTAGGAAAATGTAGAATTTCCTAAGCATTGTAAACACCGAAAAATGCCAGGAAATTCCAAGATGATGGGTACTCAGAAGAATCGGTAATTGATAGATACATTATTATAGACTAACTGGCTGACTGTTTTCAGCATTGAACTCTGCACAGACGTACATCAGTCCCAGTTGCCACTCTCCCTCCATGCAAAATAGAACAGAAGTAAACAGAAGTTTAAAAGAGAGGGAGATAATAAACGGAAGTGTGAGTGAGGATAAAAACAATAGTATAGAAGAACAATACAGTTTTTTGCATATGACAAATCACAAACAGTAAATACATCTGCACTGACATTGACAACGAGGATTTTCAGCCTTTCCAACAATTGTTTCCAGCAGCTATTGGTTCTTACTATCTCGAGAATGCCAACCATACAGGCAGTCTACACCTTCCTACGTGGCTGGCTGGCTTAAACTAACTGTTGTGGATTTAATGGACTGATGAAGCCATGTTTTGGTTTGACCACCACTAGTTCTTTTCCAGCATGATCAATCCTAGGTCAGCTAACACTGACCGTTGTCGAGGAAGGGTATAGCTAGGCATGCCAAACATTCGAAGACTGCTCGCTGCCTAAGGTCTTCATAAGACTCTGCTCTATTTTGTCAGCGTCTCCACCTAGGAGGGACGATTATATCATCTGCATATTCGAAATCAACAAGTCTACTATATATATATATATATATATATATATATATATGTATTGTAAATCAACGACCCACTAGGTAAGTGAAATAGCATACACACACAAACAAATATTTTTCTCCCCATAGTGAGGCATGATGTGCGGCGGTGGTTCAGCGGTAGGACGCTGGCCAACCACGCCTCATTTGGTCCAGGGTTCAATTCCCGGCCAGCGCACGCCTTTACCACCCCGACAAAGAGGGAAGGTTGGTCGTGAGGCTAGCAACCTCATCCTGTCAAAACATCACCGCTACTGTAACTTAAAGCCCTACGTCCCACTCGTAACGCAAAATGAATTAATTAGTAAGTCACACATGATATCAGGTGGGGGGGAGGCAATTCCAAGGTTAAAAAAACACAGCACAACGAATAAATAAATATGACACCTTAATTTCAGTGTGAATACTCGCCAATTCGATCATTAAAATACAAAGGAAAACATACTTGATGATTATTTTCTCCACTTTTATTATCTGATAATGATGTTTTAGAGGGTGCGGTCTTCGATGATTTTTTACTTCGTTGTTGTTTTATTGTACTGTCTGAATCATCGAAGGCAACATATCCAGAACGACATGTTGTCGCATCGCTATAATCTAAAAGTTTACTGGAATTGACATTCTCTGTACAGTTGGATTCATTCATAGACTGGCTGTTGATATCTTCTCTTGATATCTTGTCCACTTTGTTATTCTTAGAGGAGAGAGAAAGTATAACAATAAAATAAATAAAGGAAGAGGTTAAAGACGACATGGAATAAACTGAAGCAATTATCTTCGCGTATGTGCGTGGAATGCTCGCTAACCAAGCATGCGGTCCGAGGTTCAGTCCCAGGCCACACTGGAAGCACTCCTTTACCTCGGTAAGACTGGTAAAGTGGCACGAGGTTAGCAACCCTATCCCGTAAAAGTAAACACCACTCCTACCGAAACTTCAAGCCTCTAGCTTGAAGCCCTTTGTTCCACTGGGAACGTAAAGGAATAAATAAAAATTAAAAACAAATTGTTTGAGAAATCCCCTCCCTAATGAATGATCTGTTTATAATATTTGTTCATAGGGAATAATAAAAATCGCACAAACAATTATTCGTCACATTTTAGTTATGATCCCACTGGATTTTTTATCCAAACATCCTGCCTATTTTTGTTATTTCTACATTTCTAACCCCTAATTGCACAATCAATGTCAATCTTCTCAGTAATTATGATGCTACTTTGTTTGAGTTTTATCTGTCCTCCCCCCCCCACCCGCACCTGTTTATTATGGCATTTTAATTCCTAATTGTAATTTTATTAATCTGACTCCTGACCGGAAATTACTCTGGAACATTCTCCACCATTTACTCTATAAATAGATGAATGTACAGCCTAGTTGATGACTTCGTCGAACAAAAAAATTATTATTCCCTATAATATGTGTATACTTATGTTTAGACATTTCAACTAACCTTGTCGTTATTATACACTTTCCCACCCCCACCTCCTACACTGTATTTCACTAATTCGACATTTGCATATCACATATTGATTTTTACCTTTATTATATGCCTTTGTCGTTCATTATAATAAAGGTTTTTCTTTGTATTTCCCAATGAATGAAAAACAAAGCAATATTATTGTTTTTACTGACGTTTCGCTATTTAATGCTGCTGCTAATAGTTTTATCAGAGTAGTATTACTAAACCAGAATTTACAAAATCCACTCAGCTTATATATACCAGAATTAATCATCGTTCATCAGCATGAGGTAATTTTTATGTTTTTGTCAAGTTGGCCAATTGGTAAAGATAACAAATCCAAGTGTGTGTAGATTGTTGGATTTGGTCAGTGTATAAGATTGTAAAAGCGTGTGTTTGCATAATGAAATTGCTTATCACCTTTCTATTGATTTTTTCACCTCATGGGGTGGAGTGGATGTTGCACCCGGGTCGAATTCTGTTTTAGTCTATCATTCCTAAACAGTTCAGACAATTTGGATTCCATATGGTGATATGAAGTGCTTCTGATGATGTGAGACGTTCTTTGTGATTTCTGAAATGCTTTTCCTGGATGATGATTTCAACATTGTCAAGATCAATTTTGTGGCCTGATTTTATGGCGTGTAGACGAGCTATGGCTGATGGTTTTTCAAGCTTTTCTAGTTCACTAATTGGATTTCTCAGTGGTCGCATTAGTACTGAAAATCCGAATCTTGTTGTTTATGTTGACAAAACACAATCAACATGGTAGTAGTGACCAATTCCAAACAAACCCCAATGACCAAGCGAAACAAAAATCGATCGTAGCACACAATGTATCTAGAACTATACAATATAGTCAGATCTTATCTATAAAGGAGTTATACTCTACCACAGTGCCCAGGTTTTATACTCATATCAATGATTGGTTTCAACATACAGATGTGCACCAGTTCCAGTTCCCACTCTCCATACATGTACCACACAAAGAAAGAGAAGAGAGTAAACATAGATTCGAAAAAGGGGGAGATAATAAACAGAAGTGTGAGGGGAGAATACTAGAGTTTTACTGGATATGACTGACGAATCACAGAGAGTGAATGCATCTGCTCTCTCATTGACAACGACGATTTTCAACCACATCACCTACTGTCTCCAGTCGTCATCGGTTCTTACCACCCGGAGAACCCTAACCACACAGGCAGTATACACCTCCCTCCTTATGTGTCTGGTTGGCTGGCTTAAACTAACCGTTGTGGATTTCATTGACTGACAGATGAAGCTATGTTTTCCTCAGACAACCATTAGCTCTTTTCCAACCTGATCGATCCTATGCCAGAGGATTAGATTTCCCATTGTCGAGGAAGGCGATCGATGGCTAGGAAAGCGTAACACACACCCTAAATATCTCTCTTAATCGATGCATCTCTTTCACAACCTCGTCGATTAATTTTGCCTCCTCCTTACCTAACTAGCAATCGACCAAAACCTAACCTCCTCAATATTATTCACCCTAGTGTACCATCAATCACCATCTAACACACATTGGAGATAGAACAAAGACGAACACCTATGATGAAAGACAGCTAGTTAGGTAGCCAGGTTTTTCATGTCTTCCATTTCCGATGGGGGCCACGTTTCACTCATAGCCATAAAGGAAGACTGAGCAGTACACATGTCCTTTGGTCGACAGCCAGTCAGCCAGCCGGATGGATATCACGTCTAGTTAGCCAGAGGTACCGTAGGTTGCTTGTCAAATGACAAACGAGCCTTCTGTATCCATGATGAGATTTCATCAGACATTAGACTAACCCACCAATGGGATTGATACAACAGACGTCCTGAATGACAAAAAAACAACAACAGTGGAACCCCCTTAAAGATATCTTATACACAAAGAACAGAGGAATAAGCACTCACTTTAAAACAATACACCATAAAAAATCAAGGACAGCCTCATTTAGTAGCCTACGTCAGACTATCTACTAAACAGATTTATGTATGACTTACAGAAGACAGACACATAAAAATCTGTTAGGTCGAATAAAATCAATTGATGATTAGACTTAGAGATCAGAATCAAAGGTGATTTCACAACAAAATCTCTTCAGTGTCCCACCTCTCAAAGTATAGTATAGTGTAAGTATATGAAAATATCGGATTAACAAAAAAATGCATCTGATAAGCATAGCGCCTTAGCTCAAGTACTTACTTTGGACGACAATTTCGACGACTTCTTTGAAGCAGTTTTATGCGTCACTTGACGCTTTTTAGCACGTTGACATGGTGTGCTGGAAGGGTTTAGTTTATTATTGTCTTGTGTAATAAAATTATCTAATACAATATTCAATCGATGGTGTGGATCGTTGATATCTTCAGGATCAGTGAGTGATTCATTGTCAACAGTTACTCCCTAAATGTGATACAGAAGAAGAGAAAAACAATTGGCGGTTAAATGTATGACAAGACGAATATCGACAACTAGGAAAATATATTTTAAAAAATGAAAAAAGGTGTTCAGCAACGAGAGTCACTCTTTTTCCGGTGATATCATTCTCTCAAGCTGTACGATCGCATATGTGCTTAATAAATTCTCTTAGTAAAGAATACTTCTAAAGAAGTGTCATTAGAATTGTGAATTTTAGATCGTTAATTAGCAGAAGTTGGAATTCATGGACTGGTCATTGTGGAGTCAGGTTCTAGTATTGGCTGAATGGTCTACGAGTTAGCCCGCCTTGTAACCGGAAGGCGATGGGTTGGAACTCTGACAGTGGGGTTGGTGCACACTGATGAAGAGTCCCAAACTAGGCTGATGAAATACCTAACTGCGGATTACTCGAGTGGTGGTTTTCCAATGGTTCTCTAACCGATGTCAGCTCATGATGAAATACTGTAACGAGTCAAACTGCTGCAAACCAACACTTGAATAACAAATTACGTAAAGCAGAAAACGTTAATCGGGTAGAAACTAAGATATAATTATATAAGTTGAGTGACTTAATATAATTGAGGAGTTTGAGTAAAAGTCAGCTAAAATTCAAAGGGAGTCAAGTTAACAACAGTGGTATTAAATGGGGGCGGGGGGGGAGAGAAAATAACACAATTAAGAAACATAAAACAAAAATTACGGACCCAGTGTCAAGATAGGTCAGGTTCATTGTCGATTTAATGACTGAACAAACTTCTTTTGTATGCAGAGTTCAGGATTTCAAATGTGCATTGCCACCATTGCTTCTGCCGTTTGAAGCAGTTTGATTCGCACTCTTTTAACAAGATTCCCACGTATTTTTTAGATAACTCTATAGTTACTTTTTCGAGTTTACTTGGTGTTCTGATTCGATCAGCTGTTCCAGGATAGAGCTGCGGTGGGAGGGGGGTCAGCATTTTCCTTTTTAAAAGCACGAGATCAATTGTTCGATGATACGTTCGGATAGTAAACGCTAGATTAGAAGCGGTCGATATACCTAGCTACAAACGGGCAGGTGAATTGGTAGATGCACACTGATGGGGCGGGTCGTGGTTTCGTAGAGAAATTTAATCGAAATTAAGCCGCAAAAAAAGTTTTCTTCAGTGAGCAGGCCAAGTGGTTTCTCAGTATTTCTGCCGATGAGTCTCCACTGATTCAATTGTAGATTCAACTAGTGAAGTTAACTTGACTCCCGTTCAAATTTCAGTTGAATTCAACTCAACCTCGTCAATTATATTACGTACGTCAATCAATTTACTTATTTAGTTTTATTTTAGTTTTTACCCCGATTAACGCTTTCTACGTTGCGTAATGTGTTATCTACGGAAATTTATAATTCTAATGATACATTTTTGGAAATATTCTTTTTGTTGGTAAGAGAATTTACTACATACATATGTGACTGTACAGTTTGAGAGAAAGATATCGCTGAAGAGAGGAGAAACCCTTCGCTGAACACTATTTCTTTTATATGACTCCCTGGGGAATTTTGAGTAACTAATATTGGGCTAATAAGCAGAAAATAGTAACTGTTTGAACTTTCCACCAGACCTATAACCTGATAATTCTAAAGTCAATATACTACGTGGAATTAAGCGGATGAACTGCGCTAAGCACGTCAAAATTGACGAAAGTTATGTGTCTGACTGACCCAAGTCAAAAGGAACCCAGGTTTAATTTAAATCCTGTCCCACACATAACTTCAATCGATTAGTGCGGAAGACGCTTAAACGTCAACAATAACAACACCAACAATATGAGGACCACTTG